TTGTTTGTTTGTTTTTTTGTTTTGGTTGTTTTGTTTTCTTCAACTTTAGGAGCTATGGGCCACCAGGGTACTCTGGCCATGCCCTGCCTGGGGAAAGAAAGCTCAGCACAGTACAACTGCATGGCAGTACCTGCTAGCACAGCGCTTTCCATTCTAACTCCTGGCTGCAGCTGCTCAGCCCTTTCAGAGGAGGCTGTGGAGGGTTTGCCCCTCCATTTAGTCCCCTTCCAAGAAAGCCCCCCTTGTGAATGGAACAGCAGAGCAAGAAATTATTCACTAGGCTCACTCAGCACTTGGAAGTGTGATTTGGTCTGCAGTTTGCAAGGGATTTCTGCATCCAACTTAAAGTCAGTTGGCAATTCACAGCATCTAAGCTGTGGGGGTTGGCTTCTTCTCAAGACCTTGTCACAGAGATTAACATCTGCAGGCTGCATAAATGTAGGCATCGGTCATCTCTTCTCCTTTCATTATGGGTTGCAATCTGTCCCTCTGACATGATAAACCAGGAATGCAGGTTCTTATCTGTATAATTAGCTTCTGCAAGAGAGCCAGCAGGCCTGCCCTCTATGCTAACCTTTCCCTATTCGCTTAGCTTTAGCAGGAGCCCAACATTTCAAGGGCCCCGTGCACATGCTTCTAAGGTGGGAAGGGAAATTACACTGCAGAGCATGGTAGGGACTTTGCAGTCCATATGCTCTACCCCCACTAGACTGATGGCTTCTCCACTAATTTCAGTAAGGAGGAGAGGTTAACTGACAGGCAGCAGATCAAGAAACTTGAGAGGCATTACGTCTGACCTAGTGGGTCCACCAGCTGGTCAACCAAACCCATCTTCTTTGCCCTGTCAGCACGGATGTTCCTTCCAGTCAGCATCATATCAAAGGCAGCAGGAAGTCCCACCTGGAAGGGCAGAAAGGGGATTTCAGAATGGGAGCACGCCCTGCAGCAGAAGGGGCTATCAGGTAAAGTTTCTCTCTCACTTACCATCTTTGGCAGCCTCTGAGTACCCCCTGCCCCTGGCAGGAGACCCAGTAACACTTCAGGTGTTCCCAAGATTGTTTTCTTGTCCTTTGTTGCTATTCTGTAGTGACAGGCGATGGCAACCTTACAAAAAGAAAAGAAAACTACAGGTTTCCCTGTGCGAGACCAGAGAAGAACTGGGCATCCATAACAAAGGTCTCTTCTACACATTGCCTCAGCTTTCTTCTTGTCCCTACCCCAGTTCCCCATTTCAACTGCCCAAATTCCCTCTGTGCTCAACTGATGGCTTCTTCCAGCAAGAGAAGCACATGCAGGGCAGATGATAACAAAACATGAACGTGAAACTACCAAACTGAGCCATGCTATTTTGAAGTCTCATCTAGACCATCACGGGCTAAATTCATTTACTACACTGAGAGCATGGTCCCATATACAGATCAGCCATGATACTGGGTTTATCACTGGATCACCAAGTCCTGATCTATAACCACAGTGCTTGTAAAAACCTGCAACTGCCTGAGAAATCAGCACATAACCGAAGAGACCCCGTTGCCAACAAAGTTATTCTGTTTTAGTAACAACTTTGCTCCAGGAATTACCACAGAGTCTTTCAGTTTACAACATCCTAAATGGAGATTACGAAGCAAATACTGCATCCAGCCAAAGTGGCGAGCGATGGTGCAGAGTACGCAGGCCAGGGTGGAGCCTGGCCAGGTTCCCCACACTCATCCCTCTCACAACAACCTTTAACAGAACAGAAGTTGCTGGGTTACGAGACTCTGTTCATCTGAAAAGCAGCAATTTCCAGCCTGGGCTCTGCCAGCAGCATTTATCCAGATCCAACGCCTGCCGGAAACAGCCGGTTTTCCCTGGGACGCTCTCCATCTAAATATTAGCCTGGCCCACACAGATTCATGTTTGATTAGCTGTCTTTCAACAGAAGCAGAAAAATTAGCATGGCAGAGCCCTGAAGTACCACCAAGCCATTAAACTTGCCACAAACTCATCTGAATGGATGTAATGAACCCACGTCAGGTCTCAAATCCCTCTCGCACTCTCTCACAGTAAGTAGTCCTGCAGGCATCATCTGGATAGTTTAGAGACCCAGTGCTATCAACTCCCACTCTTGCTTGTCAGGCCCAGAATTGTTCCATACCTCCAGCCCTCCTCCCAGGCAGGAACCACTGATGGCAGCAACTATGGGCTTGGGAGACTGTTCAATTTTTTCTAGCATCTTCTGTCCTTCCTGAGAGAGCTGAGTCACTTCCTGAGAAGTCTTGCAGGCTTCAATCATGCTGCAGTGAGGCAGAAAGGCTGATGAGGACTGGAAAAACACTGAGGAAACCGCAGTGAAATGAGAGTGCTTCAAGGAGTATGTTCCCCTTTTCCCACAAAGCTTCAGTGACTGACGGACAGGCAAGAGCTATTTAGTCCTCCAGTCTTAGATTAACAGACAACACAGCAAGACTACTAAATTCAGTGGGTTAAGTCACTGCAGGCAGTGAATGAGCTTCCTTGTGTCAGAGCTTTGAAAGCCTTTGGGGGAGAGGAGGAAGGGTCGTAGGAAGCCTCAAAGCACTTGCCAGGAAGGGTGGAGGGGAGAGCCCAGGATCACTTTTTAAGAGGAGCAGATGGCCAGTGCTCTGATGTTGCACTCCGCCAATTAAAGACTCCCTGTGCCAATTAATTCTCATGGAGGCTAGCAGCGTTTGCCAGGCAGGTGCAGTTCAGGAGGCTCGCAGTGTTGAGACCAGCGGACACCTCTTAAAACACAGCCTGTCTTTTTGCTCTGCTTACCAGCTCTCACTACTGCCTCCTTCCCACGACAACATATATCAAGTCTCCGCCTCTGAATAAAGCCAGTCAAAAAGATAATAAGTTTTTAAAGCGCCTATTTGTAATTCACCTTCCTTCCCAAGAGCTTTCTGTTTTTTAATGTCTTTAAGCAACGGTTCTTTCTTACCTGATGTCAGGACTAGGAGCCAAGGGCACTCCAGGTCCCAGCGAGAACACCCACAGGGGTTGTCCCACACCCTGCACAAGTTACCCATGCTGAA